CTTATAATATTTTCATAATTTATGCTCTAAACACTAAATAAAAGAATCAAAATAAGTTTTCAAATATCACCAATGTTTAACAAAGGTGATTCTAAATATTTAGAAGTTACTATCAACCAAAACCAATCTTAAAAGCCACTATCAAAAAGAAATTAAAGTTATACAAATTCTATAGTAATCTTTTTTAAACAACCTCTTAACAAAATAATAGTCAAATTATATTCTACAATCAACTAAAATCTACTAACATGGCTCTCACCATGTTACTTAATAAATTATGTATTAAGTACATATTTACATTATTTTCATATAGTAGCCGAACCACAACACGACAATGTGGCGACGTTCTATAGGACCTCCAATATGTGTTGACTTTGTAGGACACTTGCCTTGACTTACAAGGCAAGTTTTTCTACGTGTGGGTGACATTGTTAGCTTGGTCTTAAAGCTAACAACATGTGTGGCACATGACCAACGTGTTGACCACGTTTTTAATCCAAAAAGTCAATTAAAGACACCTATAAAGTCAAAGCATCGTCTATGAAGCTTCTAGGAAGCTTTCATATCAATTACTATAGAATTAATTTACTTTTATCTACTTTTACTTACTTCTACCTATTTATACATGTAATTATTGGCTTATATGAGTATCTCCATGACATAAAGTTGAAGTTTTGAAAATCAAAAAATCTATGATAACTTTATATTATTAAGATTAAATATTTTGTAGTAATAATATTAAGATTATAATTCTAGTAAGTTGTAAATAGTCAAAAAAATCAAAGGCTTTGATAAAGTTACTATGATGAAGATAATTATAAATGAAGTTCATCTACATCAAATATAACCTTACATTTGTAAGTAAAGGGTATTCGAAATAAAAGTTAAAATTAGCTTATTTCATACTTTTCTTTATATGCAATCTTATTAATAATAAGTATTGAGATTTTTTTTTTTTTTCAATACTATGCATCTAAAGTATGATGATTGAATGGAACTTACTTAATACTACGTAAAAATTCTACTTAGGTCTAAGATTTAAAGATAATTTAATCACTCTATATTCTAATCTAACTGTACTTTGTGAGATCATCACTCTATCTTTTAATACTCGAAGTAACCACATAATCCCCTCGAATTGCATCATGGATTCTCTAAACATAAAAAAATCATGAAATCATGTTTGAAAAAATTATGATTTAAATTTTTCATACAAAATATTGTGTTTCAAGTTTAATCAAAGAAACAAAATATCAATCATGTCTATGAAATAATCTATGTTTTATTTTTATTTATTTTTATTAATAATATTATTATTTTATTATTGTAAAATAATTTTATAATAAAATAATAATAAAATTGAATAAACATTTAAAATAACATGTGTAAATTTTATAAACCTTAAAAAATTTCTTTTAAGATTTACTATTAAAAGTATATATATTTAGATATATAAATAAAGTTAATATTTATAATATTATTAATTTTTTATTTATTAGTATTTATAAAAATATCTTTAAAAAATTATTAACATACATGAAATTTAATGTATATAAATTTGAATATTAATATTATAATTATATATCAATTAAGTACTAAAGAAATTTTGTTAATATGTAACTTTCATTATTTCATTTTATCCATGATATTTTTATTTTTTTTTACTACAATTCTAGTTAAATGTAGTTTCAATGTATCAATGATGGTAAGAAAAGTTCCTTGAATTTAATCTTTTAATGGCTCTATAAAAAAAATCACCAATATAATAATTTTAAAATCCTATTGATTAATATTTCTATCATTAAAAATGACAATATAATAAAAATCCAATCCTGACACTAGAACAATGCACTAGATACCAAAAATAGTTCCATTTGGATTTAGATATACTAATTATACATGCAATATCTAATTGATAGATTGAGAGTTAGTTGTAGTAATGTTTGATGTCAGCTCTTGGTAACACAATAGAGATTACTATAAAATCTCATTTGCATTGAACAAAATCAGAATAGGTTTAAAACCATGCCTTATTGAACATGATTTCTTATAATTTTTTTGCACAATTTGTTTAATAGTCTTCATTTATATTTAATATTTTATATGTTCTTTATTTTAATAATAATTTTTTACATAGAAGTATAGATTTTGATATTTTTCTTTTATGATTTTACTCAAATGATTATAAAACTGTGTTGTAGTAATTGCTATATAGTTTGCATAGAAAATACTACTTCTTTAGATTCTACTAAGTGTTTTGATTTAATGATGTTGTATCATTTAATTATGTTTTTTGGTGGTTTCTACTAAATAAGTTAGGCTTGGATTTGATTATGCAACTCACAAGTGATTTTAAGATTTTGGTAGAGATGAAGAAGGTATTTGTAATTTGGGTAGTTAAAAAAAATGCAATAGAAGAATAAAATAAAATTTGGATTTTTTCTTAATAGAATAGATATCATTATTGAAAATAGGTTATATTCATTAAGATGTTGTGTTGCTTTATGTTTTTGTATAATATTTTGTGACCTACAATTTTTTTTATCACAAGAAAAAGACAATGCAAACAATTATTATTACATCTTAAACATTGGCCAATTAAAATATATTCTAAAGTAGCAATCAAACTTTAACATGTTGTGTGAGTTATAAGATCAAGTACCTTGGCATTTAACTATTTATATTTAAAAGATGGAAGTAGTCCTAGATTCCTTAAGAAAAATAGATTTAGATCTTAAAATATATAACAATCTCATGATGTACATTTGATGCACAAGTCTTCCAACACCTTCAAAAAAAATTGGTATATATACATTAATATGTGTAATTTTGACTGCAAACTTATTAAGTTTTATAGTTGATTTATTAACTATGTATCCTATTGCCTTACATTATAACAATTCTACATCAATTCTTCAAGAATCATCTTTACAAGAATTTGCTTTTCCAATAAAAGATTTGTGTAGTATTGCTCCTCAAGAATATCCCTCTAAGCAACTTCATGCTTCTTCTTAATAGCCACAATTCTCTCAAGTTGTTCATATGATAGTCATATTTTTTTTATTTTTTAATTTAAAAATTATTTTTATTTTATTTTTATTTTTTTAATATTAAAAATAAATAAGAAAAATATTTATATTATAAATTTTTTATATATAATTACTTGACCAATTTTGCATCAATTCAAATATAATTAGTCAATTTTAATTAAATTTTATGTTTTAATGTGTTAATGTCTTGATCTATTAAGCATTGATTATAATGCAATTTTTTTTAGAATAGAATAAGACAATGTTAGAAAAAGATTAGAACATAGTTTATAGCAACAATAGAATGTATATAATAATACTCTATTATGCAACTTGGTGTTATTTTTTTAAGCAAGTACAACCTATGAATGATGGCCTATCTACAATATTCTTCTTCATTTACTATATGGCTATTAAAGAATCTTCAATTAGGCTAAGGTTAGTGACTTTCAATTCATGCTTCTAAAGCCATCATAAAAAGATTGTTGATGGAATTGATTCATTTCAATTGTAAAAATTTGAATGCCTAATATTTGTTACCAAATAATTTAGATACTTGATTTTCCAATGCATTGTCTTAAGTTCATAGTTTTATAATTCTTTTTTACACACAAGAGAAATATAAGAGTATATTATTATGGCTTTGAAAAATTGGAATTCTTAATGTGGTTTTATCAAAATTATGCATATACATCTTTATCATATGTCAACATTGACATTTTTATGTCACCCTTGTATTAAATATTCTTGATTCTTTAGATAAATTTAGGATTGTGATTACAACCTAATTTTTAGTAAGTCATTTTAAATTTCCATGTTTCAAACTCAAAGGAAAACAAAAGTCAATGAAGGGGGAAAAAAAATGGTGTTATGGTTGAATTGTTTTATGATTTTAGAATTAGAATCAAAGAAGGCTATTTCTATCTTTGGACAATGTTACTAAAGAAGTGGCTTCAAGATGACATGTATCTATATCTTGCTACAACATTTCTTGTATTGAGGGTATTTCATATTTTGGTGCATACTCTTAAGTTCTTGTACCAAGGATATTTCACAATTTGGTGCATATCCTTCAATTAAGAATAATAAAGCAATGGGAGAATAGAGAATAGAGCCATTTTAATATTTATTGATGCAACCTCCAAAGTGGTTATTTGGTGCTATGATAAATTGTTGTTGGCATATAGACATGACAGACATTGCTGGGTTGAATCCTGTTGTTTAGTAGTCAGGACTTTGGACTATGAATATTGTAATGCAAGTTCAAATCTTGCTAAGGCATACTTTCTTTTTGTCAGCACCTTTGTTTGTAGTTCCTTATTAAATACATCTTTTAAGGGAGTTATCAATATTGGATTGTTTTTACCAACTGTCTGTCACTATGTGATAACCTAATGAATTCTAATTATTTGTTTTGAAGGAGAATCAGATATTTATGTATATATATATATATATATATATGTATCATTTCTCCAATATTCTTATTCAATGCAACATGATTGTGAGCTTTCACCTTCACAACAATTTCAATTTCTTCAAATGGTATCACTTTCATGCTTTTACATGAAATGATTTCTTATGGTTTATTACTCCTGAGGATGATAGGGTTTATCTTAATTTTGACAGTGATGGAGTGGAGGTATTATTGAATAATAATGGTGTTATGCTTGTCATGGTTGTAACGTCTGCTCGGTGGAACTCTTGGAGACCTTATCTTCAACATGACCCATGCAATGGGATGCCAGCATTACTTGTGTTCACAACTCGTACATATTATATATGTCAGGAGGTTTTCAAATGCACTATTACAGTTATCTAGAAAATTTTGTTAGAATGATTCAGAATTTTTCCAGTTTTCAAGTGATTCTAGGCAGAAGTTGATTTATTACTTTCACTCTCATATTACAGCATTGACAGTGCGAGTCGTGAATGTAGTCGAAATCCAAGTGCACAAAAAAAACAAACGAAGACTTTGAAACTGGGTGGCAAAATCAGCAAAGTGGCATTATGCAATTCTGCGATCGACACAAGAAGCTTGTCCGCATCATGAGTGAGAACCTTCTGGCAGTGACGGTGGTCAGCGGCACAAGAGTAAGAAATTCTCGACTACTCGATCCTTGCGCAAACTGGTTAAACTAGCCCTGTATCAGGCACACCTCATGACAGTTCCTTTGCAAGCCATTTCAGCAGGATTCGAATCCATGCGCTGATGGTGCAAATTATTCGGAACATAGAAAGTAGATCTAGCTGTTGGTATTCACGATGGTCTTTCATGGACTGACATCTATTGGGGGTAATGATAAATCACTCTCATGGTACAAGCGCTGGCATTGCTACTATGAATAGTGTCTCACAAATCTTCTACTTGACTCTACTAGTTGGCGCAGCCGCAATCAGCTCCGCAACCACCGTTGCAGCCCCCCTCTTTTGCACAAGTCCCTGATGGAAAAATAACGAACCAGTCAAAATTTTCTTCTATTATTAACACGTGCCTCCAGATACTCGAATCTAGCGCTACATTAAGTCATGGATTCAGTATGCTTGGAAAAGGAAAATTATTACCTGCACAGTCGCAATTGCCGCACTTGTTTTCACCAGCCACCGAGTTGTAACAGCTCTGAGGTGAGAAATACTGGCTGTCGCCATTGAAGTTATATTGGCCTTCGTAATCATCCACCACAGGCTTCAGGCCGGCATACCTGCACGATCGGAACCAGTTAAGATCTTTTCCCACGTAATACCGCTTATCATACCCACTGATCAAACATAGCTATTACCCCTGAAACTAACAGTGTAGAGTCCACAAGAACTAACAACCTCGATTGTCAATTGAGAACAGCTAAAAAGTCATTTTTGTCCACAATAAACCAGTCTGAAACATAACATTTTGGATTACTTCGGTCTATCCCACTGCAATCCAATGTAGGACAATCATCTCCAACAAAGTTCTTAAACGAACACAAAAAAGGATGACGATGTCAGAGCCTCTTATGTCGGTTATGTCGTAATTTCCTGCAGACAGAGAAATCGAAAGCATGTAGAAGAATGACTCGATTTCCATACCTCATATCGTCCCGGCTTTCAAGAGACCAGATATTTTGGTTGCAACTGCAGATCACCACATCATAAAGAGCAAACAATAAGACTTGGAACTACACAGTGAACTACTAATTTCACTGCTGAATAATTAATTGGGTGAATGAATTCAGACAGAGGAGCTACTCACGTGCAAGTTGCTCGGCACCCGCACTTGGGGCAGCAGCCACAACCACCGCAAGACATCGTGTCGGTTTAAGAACTGCAATCACGAGAAACCACATGAGGAACTGATCAAAATAACAGCATCATCTGATCTCCCTCAGCCACTTTCTTCACTCAATCAAGGACGAAATACTGCTAACTTTTAGACAAGGACTTCGCGATTGATTTCCCACTCAATGTCCATGTGAATTCCTACACAATCGAATTGTCTTTTAGACTTGAACCTGTGTGACATCAGAAGGATTCTCAGGTAACTTCTTGAGAGTCTCTAAACTGCCAACACAATTAAATTCAAATGTGTCATGGACAGATTCTTTAGTTGACACCGGAACCGACAGGGCAAAGCTACTCGACCCAAAGCTTATGCTTCGCAACCTAGATCCACCAACAACTGGTAAAGGACTACATCATATGAACACCTCAATCGTCAAGCTCTGTCAACATTCACAAGAATCAAGAATTTGTAACGGGATAGATCAAACTACACGATTGACAATACAACCCAGCAAGTACCCCCACTCAAAGTGCCAGCACCAACCGAGTGAGTTCACAGTCCGGATTCGATGATAAGAATTCCAAAAAGTATAAAAAAATATAAAAATCATGAAACACTGCAATCGACACATCACAACGAATGCAGAGACTAAGAGGAGACGACTACCTTCAAGCTCTCCCCTCCTCTATCCTGCAAATGTCAAACCCAGACACCTCGGGCTTGAGCTCCAACTACACGAAAACAGCACAGGCCCCAAGTCTCCACACACGAGCTCTCAATAACAACCCAAACGAGACCCTCAAAATCTAAAGCAGAAACACTCTACGACATAACACTCTTGTGGGTGTTGAGGGGGTGTGGCTTGATAGCAAAAGCAGCACCAGCAACAGCAACAGCAGGGAACGAGGCCGGATTCAGGGAGATGAGAATGCCGTCACTCCAGATTCCAAGCCACTTCTTCTTCTTCTTCTTCTTCTTCTATTACGCTTCTACTTCCAATTTCCCTGCAGTCATGTTTCGTCGAAGCTTGCATTGTCCTTTCACGCAGACCTAGGGCTGCGGATCCCACTTGACATCTTGCCTTTCCTTGGCTATTTCCCCCACTAATTTACGAGCCCATCTCACATGTCTCCGCCGCAGCCTTGCTGCCGAGGACGAGGACGGCACCCACAAAACCCCCCTACCCCCTCCACCACCACGGGCCGGGCTCCAAGTTCGGGGACGGGGAAGGGGCCGGGGAGGGGGGATTCATCCAATAGATGAATCTGCCACTAACTTAGAACAAGTTCTGTTCATTCTGATGGAGCGGTGAAAATTCATCCACTAGTAATGACCAAGTTGTGGTTCTCGTGACTAGTTCACCCCTCCACATCCTCCTGCCACGTATGCACAGTGTGACCACCTGTGGCCATCACGGGATCGAAACCGGGTCGAGCCAACTGGCTCTTTCTTGTGACCCCGGTTCTATCCCACGTGTCACCCCCCGTGATCGGGTAGTTTCTTTACCATCTACTATTTTGGATAAGATGTTGTTGTTCTCATCGTGTGTTGGTGTGTTGGTGTGTGTGTATGGTTGAATAATGTGTGACGTGCTCTAAAATTATCCTAGTTCCCTTTTAAGAGTGGTGTTTGTAAAAGTTACATCTCTTGTTGTGAGATGAATGTGATTTGGGAATATTTTTGTGGCATAGATATATATATATATATATATATATAATTAAGTCTAGACTTATTAGCTTTCCCATGTGTCTAGCATCCCTCAATCCGTTTTGTTACTGCAAATAACAAAGGTTTTATGTATTGAGGAGACTTTTCAGTCCCTGATCTTACGAATCAATAAAAAAGTAAAAAATAAGCAGAAAAAATAGATTCAAGATGTTGTTGGCTATGTGAAATTTATGCAATGATATTGAATAGCTACTCCATGATGTACCAAAAGTTCGCAAGCCATGGAATCTACAAGATTTTTAGTAATATATGTGACAAAATTGAGAAAGGCTGTTGACTTGGTTATATATATCTTGCTTGCAAAGATATGATTTCTTTCGGGATTTTTAGTTACCATGTACTCAAATTATTATTACTGTAATCATGAGAAAACCAAAAACGATACATTGCATTCTTATATTAAAAAAATGAGGCGTAAGACATTCTCTTTTAAATATACATTGGCCTTGCTTCTAGAAAAAGAATATAGAATGGATTCTTTTACTGTTACTTCTTATTTTGTTTAAAAGAAGTTTATAATCGTGGCATATAAGATACCCAAGAAGTTTATTTTATTGTCTATAACATTCTCTCCTCTTTTGTGATAAATTTTACAAAGTTAAATAGATTAACCCACATTGTCTATTTTTTTTTAAATAATGAAATTCCTTTTGATATCAGGGAAAACTAGCATGCAAAACAGTGTACTTGTGCAACATGGTGCCTGGTACCAATGCACACACAACTACACTATTCTTTACCCCTTTCAAACATTGTTTCCACGATCGGAGCTCCACCTCGCCTCTAAGTTTAGCCCATACCGCCAGGTTTAGCCCGTCCAAGTGCAGCACGCACCGCTAAGTTTAGCAGGTTCCGATTGTGGTGAGCTGCGGGCCCCGCTGCCCACGAGGGCGGTAAGGAACTGGATGCCAGTTCGCCGCCGCGAGACGTCTTTAGCAAAACAAATCCCGCAACGTCACACTTGTGCCGCAACTACAGTGCGCCAGGATTGTGTTACCAGCGCAGGCGCCGGCACCACATGCACTGCTGGAGCTGGGCTCACGGATCCCCAGCCCACCCTGCAAATTGAGCACGTCACGACGTCATCCGTTGACCGGCACAGCACCAGCCTTTGACAGTATCTGGAATCCATCTTGCCCTTTCCTTCCATCTTCGATGGAGCAGATGGTGTTAATACTGACATTCGGAAGTGTGGACTGTCACCAGTGAATCTGGGCGGTGTACTCACTATTTTAGGTCGACGGGATGCATGACGTGCAGGTGTCCGGTGCTGGAACAGACAAAGGCTCGTCGCGAGGTGCTGTGATTTCGTAGCATGGTGTCTCCCCTCCTTCACGATTGGTGAATGGGGTTGTTGCTGCATACAAGGTGGTGGCCTGTGCATGTGGATTTAACTGCAGCAGGAAGGATTTCCATTCTCGGTCCCGACCGGAACGGTTCCGTCACTTGAGCACACACTGGAAGTCCTTCACGACACTTGCAGCCTGGTGCTATGAGCAGTTATCCAACTGTTCCCATCATTCGCTCCTGATTTCGTGGCTGAGTTCCCTCACCTGGAAACGAGGACTCTCTGCAAAGAACCCCCCCCCCCCTCCCATCCATTCAATGAGAAAACTAGAGATTCATGCCTGCAAAGGGCAAGGTCGTTAATCGTGGCCGAGGCTTCTCGAGGAGGACTATTATTATTTGCAACATACCCCGGACAAATTGTCACGAAGCCACAGTTACAGTTGCCAGGAAGCGAGCACCGCATTTAGAACGTTGCATGCAAGCACGATGAGACAAGGTAGATTTGAAAATTTGATCGGGTCTGGTGGGAATTTTTGAGGGGCAGGGCACTTGTATCTCAGTTCAGCTGCGACAAGACATCAGTGATCGAAAAGGGCGATAAATTCAGAACCAGTGCTTTTGAGAACCAGCTAGCAAATGCTTTGCCCGAGTTGAAGCTCAGTCAGCTTGATGCATACGCAAGCTCGTAGGTGCAGACCAGTTCCGCTCGACGTAATAACTCGTCAGAGTCTGGTGATTACGTGTGGCGCATTGGATTGCTAGTCACGGACTGCGAAGCCTTTGACAGGTTCAGTCTGCTAAGTTAAGGAGACGGAGATGATATATCAATTGGATCGAGTTACTTCTCATCCCACCAACTGTTTAACGGGGCGATCGAGGTGAGCATTGCATGCCAGGGCCACGAAAGTCAGCAAAGGCCACGAAAGACCAAATCGGGGACCGAATGGCGATCATCGGTGCACGGCTTTCCAATACGTGAAGGCACATTCGCGCAGCCCAACTTCGACCCTGTCGATCACGCCACGGTAGAAGTACCCCAAACCGCGACACCCCAGCTCGAGAACCGTGAACCGTGAACCGTGACTTTCATAGAGATACGTAATGAAATCCCCTCGAAAAACCACTTGTTTCGAAATGAATGTAGCCCTAGCGCCTCGTCGCGATTCGCCACTCTAGCGGTGGCATACGGTTGCTTCGCTCCCAGGATTCGAGGCAAATGATCTAGAAAACTACACCCTACAGGAAGGAGTAACGGCATGGGTGGGCGCCGACTTTTATTGTTCTAGATGCATCGGGATGGATGTTGCTGAAGAATCCATACCGGTGCCCTCCCCTCCCTCCTACACACAAGCATCTTGCACAGTGACCATCTGCCTCGAACGCTACTCACTATCCATCACACACACGCCCCCACGCCCAGCTGGGTTTGCGTCCTTCCTTGCCTACCCCATGCACGTGCACCAGTGGGATTCCACGTGAGTCACCGCTCATTACAAACCCCTCATTCTTTTTTATTACTAGTCACACCTTCCACCACCCTCTCTGCTCTCCTCTCATTTCATCTCCTGCACTCTGTCAGTTTCATTTGCTTCTCATCACTGAGTTATTTGTCACACCGAGTCGGATTGAACCCATTCTGGATTGCACAATCTGCATTTGCTGAATCAATCCCATCACCTTTTACACGTTTCTGTAAAATTTGGTTACTAACATAGAGGAACTTGTTTATGGATAATTTGGATACAAAGAAATGTGTTTTTTAAAAAAAATATATGTATGGAATGACAGAAAAGACTTGTTGAAAAATATGGGATGGATTTGACAAATATGGTAAATCTTATTAGAAATGGTCTAGAAAACAGTTATTAGAAAATAAACTGGAATTTAGTACTATGTTTGTCAATATTTACAATAGCGTGTGGATGGCAAAAGAGATAATAGGTTTTAGGCAAGGAATAATTGTTAGATAGAACACTAGTGCTCTTTACAACATGTTGGTAATTCACAACCCATATGGTAATAATAGAGAAATCTACACTAGGTGTATTTTTATTTTATATTAAGATGGTTCTTTTATTTACATCTTTAAAAAATTAGAATTTTAGATGTTAAGGTTGTTTAAAATTCTTAACTATTACAACAAATCTATGTGTCAAAAACATCTTCAAATAAATTAATAATCCAATGGATTATTAATATAGTTTGGAGCATAAGAAAATAAAACTTCTTATTATTAATTAAAATACATAACTATAAGCAATTCCTAGTCTTGATAAAGTTATGAGACGAAGTAAGTAATTGAGAGTTTTAGAAGTAGATGTTATTTCATGTTATATATATATCTATATATATATATAGATATGCTTCTATAATTTATGTTCTTTTATTTTTAATTAATATTTGTATAGTTTTATAAAAATATTACTACTATATTTACATATGTTTTAACTTTTATTCTATTTTTATTTATATATTGCCATATTTTTTTCATGTTATATATAAAAATTTCTAATGAAAATTTTGATTTTTATAGTAATATAGATTTTAACTTTGCAAATCTTATTGTCATAGATACACTATACAGAAGACCAAACAAGAAGTTGAATAAAAGAGTTTTAACAAGAAAGCTAATAAGAACTTCATTAAATTAGATGAATACAAGATCAACACCAAGAGAAGTGAGCTAAAGCTCCATGAGATATATTGTCAAGACTGAAGATTAACATCTATATATCCATTATATAATAGATGGAAAGATAATAGATAGAAAGATTAATATCTATATATCCATTATACAAATTCTTTGTGATTTATTGCTTCTAATATCATAGATATTTTCATCTTTTCTTCTATATTTTACTACCATGATTTAATATACAAAAGCTCATGAGAAGTCTATTTGATGAAATGTTCTAACTAATTTGTTAATCTTATAGATGTTTGATCTATTTAATAATATAACGATCTATAGACGAAGAATTTTCTAGAAACTATATAGATATATATATATATATATATATCATGATATGAATCTCAACATTACAAGTATTAGACTGACTCAATATTAGATTTTTAACATCAATTAAGTTTATTTGATGTTAAAGATAAATAAGTTTATTTCATCACTCATAGA